GTAATAAAAGTGGCCCTTCACACGTAGGTACGATGTGACCTCACAGGACTAGAAAAGCACTGCTCCCCCCTCTCTCCTTTTCTTAGCTCTTAGCCTCTCTTCCTTGTCCTCTTTGCCCTGCTCTGGGCTCAGCTAGGGAAAGTACCTTTTTAGGGAAGTAGTACCTATTCAGTATGGGAATTGGGACAGAAGAGCCCATATACTAAACAGTCTCAGAAGAAGACAGAATACTTTAAAGAGCTAACTGAATGGTACCTTTAAGCTCACCTTCTTCGAGAAAAGAAGGAGACACTTTAGAGCCAACAAACAGAGCAACAGCCCAAGGAACCAAAGGAGCAGCCCAAGGATCCAAAGGAGCAGCCCAAGGAACCAAAGGAGCAGCCCAAGGATCCAAAGGAGCAGCCCAAGGAGCCAAAGGAGCAGCCCAAGGATCCAAAGGAGCAGCCCAAGGAACCAAAGGAGCAGCCCAAGGATCCAAAGGAGCAGCCCAAGGAACCAAAGGAGCAGCCCAAGGAACCAAAGGAGTAGCCCAAGGAACCACCCAACTCAGAGGAGAGGAAAAGAGCAACAAGAAAGGACACACAAACATCAGCAGGCATCAAGCTCAAAGAATCAACTCAGGACCAGAGAACACACGGCCATCTCTTCTCCCAGGGTCAGCTCAATGAGTTTAAACAGGTGAACAGCAAGATGACAGCAATCTGTAAGTCATTGAGAGAGACCATGATAACAATGACGGAGAAATCAGATTATCTTGAGGGACAATCAAAGGTGGAACAACATTGTTGTGGATGGAATCACAGAATCTCCACGAGACCTGGATGGAGTCTGAGGACAAAGTGAGGGAAATGATCTTGGAGAAACTGAAGATGGACCACAGGAAGATTGAGGTGGTGCGCGCCGACAGGACTGGAAACCCACCACCGGCCCAGGTGACAGGCCCAGGCCGATAGTGGTCAAGTTCATGAGGTTCAAGGACAATGTAGCTGTTCTGGAAAGAGCCAAGAACTTGAGAGGAATGTACATCTTCCTCAACAAAGGACTATCCTAAAGCTGTGAGCCGAAAGAGGAAAGAACTTATCCCAGCCATGAAAGCTACCAGAGTGCGTGGGGACATTGCTTAAATCCGCTATGACAGGCTCATTGTCCACCCTCCCTCCTAAAACCCTGGAAGGGAAGAGAGAACCAAGCCTGTGGGTTGGTAGCTTCAACCCCGCAGCACACACACACTTACTGTACATACACCAACTGATTGATGGACTACTGAATAATGTTATTATTTTCTAGTTTTGTTTGTTCTTTTCCACATTAAGTCTATCTCTGATAAGCTACCCAGGAAAGGGCTGAAAATAGCCCATATTAATATACAGTGGGGAGAACAAGTATTTGATACACTGCCGATTTTGCAGGTTTTCCTACTTACAAAGCATGTAGAGGTCTGTCATTTTTATCATAGGTACACTTCAACTGTGAGAGACGGAATCTAAAACAATAATCCAGAAAATCACATTGTATGATTTTTAAGTAATCAATTTGCATTTTATTGCATGACATAAGTATTTGATCACCTACCAACCAGTAAGAATTCTGGCTCTCACAGACCTGTTAGTTTTTCTTTAAGAAGCCCTCCTGTTCTCCACTCATTACCTGTATTAACTGCACCTGTTTGAACTCGTTACCTGTATAAAAGACACCTGTCCACACACTCAATCAAACAGACTCCAACCTCTCCACAATGGCCAAGACCAGAGAGCTGTGTAAGGACATCAGGGATAAAATTGTAGACCTGCACAAGGCTGGGATGGGCTACAGGACAATAGGCAAGCAGCTTGGTGAGAAGGCAACAACTGTTGGCGCAATTATTAGAAAATGGAAGAAGTTCAAGATGACGGTCAATCACCCTCGGTCTGGGGCTCCATGCAAGATCTCACCTCGTGGGGCATCAATGATCATGAGGAAGGTGAGGGATCAGCCCAGAACTACACGGCAGTACCTGGTCAATGACTTGAAGAGAGCTGGGACCACAGTCTCAAAGAAAACCATTAGTAACACACTACGCCGTCATGGATTAAAATCCTGCAGCGCACGCAAGGTCCCCCTGCTCAAGCCAGCGCATGTCCAGGCCCGTCTGAAGTTTGCCAATGACCATCTGGATGATCCAGAGGAGGAATGGGAGAAGGTCATGTGGTCTGATGAGACAAAAATATAGCTTTTTGGTCTAAACTCCACTCGCTGTGTTTGGAGGAAGAAGGATGAGTACAACCCCAAGAACACCATCCCAACCGTGAAGCATGGAGGTGGAAACATCATTCTTTGGGGATACTTTTCTGCAAAGGGGACAGGACGACTGCACCGTATTGAGGGGAGGATGGATGGGGCCATGTATCGCGAGATCTTGGCCAACAACCTCCTTCCCTCAGTAAGAGCATTGAAGATGGGTTGTGTTTGGTCTTCCAGCATGACAATGACCCGAAACACACAGCCAGGGCAACTAAGGAGTGGCTCCGTAAGAAGCATCTCAAGGTCCTGGAGTGGCCTAGCCAGTCTCCAGACCTGAACCCAATAGAAAATCTTTGGAGGGAGCTGAAAGTCCGTATTGCCCAGCGACAGCCCCAAAACCTGAAGGATCTGGAGAAGGTCTGTATGGAGGAGTGGGCCAAAATCCCTGCTTCAGTGTGTGAAAACCTGGTCAAGACCTACAGGAAACGTATGATCTCTGTAATTGCAAACAAATGTTTCTGTACCAAATATTAAGTTCTGCTTTTCTGATGTATCAAACAGGGGCGGTGTGTTCATTAGGGCGATATGGGCGACGCACTGCCAAACGGGAAAAGCAAGGGATTTTTTTTCTAATCAATTATATCACGGCAACAGTAGTTATCAGTGTTCTAATCTAGACGTCTGATCTGCCACTAAATGTCCAATCAGGCTAAAGTCGTGCTTCAAATGGCCCCGCCCGTTTTGGGGCGATTTCAGTCAGGTTGAAAATCGCCCAGAAGTCTCTCATAGCCTCTCATGTAAAATCTATTTTTTTCAAATTTCAGAGCTTTCAATACAATCTCTATGGGTTTCTGAGGGCTTGCACTTACGCGCTTTCGTCATACGTAACGTAACCATGAACGTAACTAAGAAAAGAGCGGGTAGCAGCATCAATCAATTCACGTACTACTATCAAGATGGCTATAGCGTTCAGTGCAACTCGATTGTCTCTTTGAAAGAAGTTCACATCAAAGAGACAACCACAAAGTGCAGGAGCGCTTTTTTGAGTTCCTTCCCATCTCGGAATCAACCTCAGTCTCAATCGCCAGTGTGCTTTTGGAGAGACTGAACGTTTTTTTTGCCGACGACGTGAAAGTCAAACTCATTGCGCAAGCTTACGATGGAGCCAGTGTGATGAGGCGAGAGAAGGCAAAAGGTGCGTGAGCATTTCAAGAAAGGCCATTACGTGCATTGCTATGCGCATCAGCTGAATTTGATCATGCAGCAAGCTAAAAAGTAACTAGTAAACTAGTCCTCAGCATGCCTGATTTCAATGAGAAAGTCATTGACCGCTTTGCTGCATTGAAAGAGAGAAGAGAACAGTTTCAGTACAAGTAATGTAGCCTCTCTCTCTCTTTGTCCCTCCCTGTCTGTCTCTTTAACACACACACGCCCAAATCAGTTCACAGTTGATGTTGTTTAAAATAGTTATTTTTAATTTTAAAAAAGTAAACAATTTTTTTTACAAATCTATACAATTGGCCAGAATATGGTTGTTCATATTTACAAAGCCATACAGATAGCTGTGTTTACCTTTTCTAGAAATTATTTTCAAATTCTGTTTTCAGGCAAAATGTCTATCACTGTTCATTTTCACAAATCTATACAAGAGGGCAGAATATGGAAGTCTATAAAAATTTCTTATTACCAATAACTTGCATCAATGTTTTCAGTAGCCTCTATCAAAAGCTCCTGCTTGCTCAGGTGCACATATTTCCAATTCAACCATGAGGCCTTTTTGAAGCAAGTAATGTGTATATCAGTATTGACTTATATGCTGCCCCTGTCTTCATGTTGTTGCTGGACATATCTTTTTTAAAATGTGTGTAGGTCACCTAAATCATCAGAAAAATTGCCCCCCCTGAGAATTTTTTCAGGAGTCGCCACTGGTATCAAATACTTATGTCATGCAATAAAATGCAAATTAAGAACTTAAAAATCATACAATGTGATTTTCTGGATTTTTGTTTTAGATTCCGTCTCTCACAGTTGAAGTGTACCTATGATAAAAATGACAGACCTCTACATGCTTTGTAAGTAGGAAAACCTGCAAAATCGGCAGTGCATCAAATACTTGTTCTCCCCACTGTATATACATATTAAAGCTTTGTCTCCTGCTAACGGAATTAATGCTGTACAGTAACTGCCTAGACTGCGGTTTTGAAGTTAACTGCAGGTAATCTCCCCGTTCCACTACCCTGTGTTTCTTTACGCCCAATTTTTGAGGTCACCCTCCCTTCACATTTATCACTGCCAACCATTCAAATTATTTGGAGCATGGGCATCAAAAGCACGAATACGTTTTTCACTGCTTTGACAGACTTGGAGACAAAAAGCTTACTGTCGACCAAAGAGTTCCTCGAAGGGCGCCAACATCTGGAAACTGCAATTGAAGGTTTGCAGCCACAGGTCAAAGCCAGGTTGGCAAAAAATGTAAGAGATAAAAGAAACAAAACAGATAATTCAGCATCATGAGGCTGAGATCAGTGCAAATGAGAACTTTGAGTTTGAGGATGACATCCTAAACTGGTCATTTCATCACCAACTGCCAGCAATGCGATGTGACCTGTCACTACCCCTGTCACATACCAAATGATGATGACAAGAAAGACTGTTGGGAAATGACCGATGGACTCTGGGAAATACTTGAAAGGAAAGTACCAGAATGCTAAAAAGGCTAAGATGTCCGTTCAACCGTTGATTGCAAAGCTAGAAGAGGAATATGATATATAATCTGTAGGATGTTTTTATTGTCTCTTATTGAGGAGTCAACAAAGTGTTTAGCCAGACTGAAAGAGATTGCTTTGAAGCCCAATCCACTCTCCAATGCAGAGTACATAGACCTGCTCATTGAAGGTGAGCGGTCAGAGGCCAAACCAGGCTTCTGGCTCTTACTCGGTCACTGGAAAGAAAATAATGGAGCAAGCAAGAATCATTTCAAAGGTGGCCAATGGAGAAATCCTCTTACCAGGAAAGAGAAATATATACACAGAAAAACAACAGAGAATGGAAATAAAGGAATCCATAAGTAAGAAGAACAGAGTGCTTGTAGATGTAGATATTGGTTGTGTTCTGTGTATTTGGTCCGTATTGGATTGCGGCGGTAAAGTAGAGTGTTTTTAGGATTACAACAAGGCAGTCCAGTTGAAGATAATTTACACAAAGGGTCATTACAGAGATTGATCCCCCCCCCAAAAAAATAAAATAACAAAAAAGGTTGATAAATTACTTTACTGGAAAATTCTAAATCATTTAAATCGGATTTAACACATTTACTAAAAAAGGGGAGAGTGTGACTTTGAGAACTTTTACACTTTGAAAAAGTATGAAATTCCTTTTTGCTGACTTTGGCTGTTAAATAACGCCTGGAATTGTTGCATTTGGATACAAGATATGTCGAATCTATTCACAAATCATGTGTGACTTTCTATATGCTCTGAGATAATGTTCTACAACATATCCTCAATAATAACGTTAAAATCTCTTGATATCCCTAGTTTTACTCAAGGAGGTTGCAGTGTGCTCCTTCAGAACCATGGCGTCAGGCGAACCCAGTGCCAAGAAACTCTGACTGTCAGAGGAGAAAAAGGAGAAGAAAACCCCAACCAAACTACAGCCCGAATTCTCTGTTCGGGGGAACCCCCTTTTGGACATCTCAGCCGTTGTGGACAAGGACTTCCTGGAGAAGTACGGTTTGAAGGCCAACGACCAGATTCTAGAGGAGGACAAGCACAAAGCAATGTTTGAAGAGATGTTCAAGTCTAAAGTAGAGCACCATGCCGGAGGAGCTACTCAGAACTCTATAAAGGTCGCCCAGTGGATGATCCAGGAGCCCCACAAGGTGTGTACGTTCTTCGGCTGTATCGGGGAGGACAAGTTTGGGGAGATTCTGAAGCAGAAGGCAGAGGAGGTCCACGTGGACGCCCACTACTATGAGCAGACAGAGGAAAATACAGGGACCTGCGCCGCATGCATCACCGGGGACAACGGGTCTATGGTAGCTAAGCTAGCAGCACCTAACTGTTATAAGAAGGACAGACATCTGGACTTGAAGGAGAACTGGAAACTGGTGGAGAAAGCATAAGTCTATTATATCGCTGGTTTCTTCCTGACGGCGTCTCTGGAGTCCATACTGAAGGTGGCCAAACACGCATCCAAGAACAACAAGCTGTTCACTCTGAACCTCTCCGCTCCCTTCATCTGCCAGTTCTTCAAAGATGCCCTCGATGAAGGTCATGCCCTATGTAGACGTGCTGTTTGGCAACAAGACAGAGGCAGCCACATTTTCTAAAGAGCAAGACTTTGAGACTGAGGACATTGAGGAGATTGCTAAGAAGGCCCAGGCTCTGCCCAAAGTCAACAAGAAGGGACCGAGAATCGTTGTCTTTACTCAGGGGAAGGACGGAACCATCATTGACCAAAGGAGGTGACAAGCTGGAGACTTTCCAAGTTCTGCAGATTGACCCAGAAGGACATTGTGGACACAAATGGAGCCGGAGATGCCTTTGTAGGAGGATTCCTGTCAGAGTTGGTCCAGGATAAGATATTGGAACAGTGTGCGAAAGCAGGACACTACGCTGCCAACGTAACCATCAGACGAGCAGGATGCACCTTCCCTCGCAAACCAGACTTCCACGGATGACCTTTAACCTTAACCTCTGACCTCTTACCCCTACCCCTTAGCCATCCACCCTGAGACTGACCCTCACCATCCCAACTAACCAAACCAGGGCCCCCTGTCCCTTTTTTTAATCATCCATCCATCCATGCTTTCATCCAATCCATCCATCAATCTATCTATTCATCCACCCGTCCGTCCGTCCGTCCATCCATCTATCTATTCATCCATCCATCTATCTATCTATTCATCCATCCATCTATTACATTTACATCATTTAGCAGAGGCTCTTATCCAGAGTGACTTACAAATTGGTGCATTCAACTTATGATAGCCAGTGGGACAACCACTTTTTTTTTTTTATGAGGGGGGTGGGGGAGGTGGGTAGAAGGATTATTTTATACTATTCCAAGTATTTCTTAAAGAGGTAGGGTTTCAAGTGTCTCCGGAAGGTGGTCAGTGACTCCGCTGTCCTGGCGTCGTGGGGGAGCTTGTTCCACCATTTGGGTGCCAGAGCAGCAAATAGCTTTGACTGGGCTGAGCGGGAACTGTGCTTTCGTAGAGGTAGGGGAGCTAGCAGGCCAGAGGTGGATGAACGTAGTGCCCTCGTTTGGGTGTAGGGTCTGATCAGAGCCTGAAGGTAAGGAGATGCCGTTCCCCTCACAGCTCCGTAGGCAAGCACCATGGTCTTGTAGTAGATGTGAGCCTCAACTGGAAGCCAGTGGAGTGTGCAGAGGAGCGGGGTGACATGAGAGAACTTGGGAAGGTCGAACACCAGACGGGCTGCGGCGTTCCGGATAAGTTGTAGGGGTTTAATGGCACAGGCAGGGAGCCCAGCCAACAGCGAGTTGCAGTAATCCAGACGGGAGATGACAAGTGCCTGGATTAGGACCTGTGCCGCTTTCTGTGTAAGGTAGGGTCGTACTCTGCAAATGTTGTAGAGCATGAACCTGCAGGATCGGGTCACCGCTTTGATGTTAGCGGAGACTCTATCTATTCATCCATCCATCTATTCATTCATTCATCCATCCATCTATCTATCTATTCATCCATCCATCCATATATCTATTCATCCATCCATCCATCTATCTATCCATCCATCTATTCATCCATCCATCTATTCATCCATCCATCCATCCATCCATCCATTTATCTATTCATCCATCCAATTATATATATATTCATCCATCCATCTATTCATTCATTCATCCATCCATCCATCTATCTATTCATCCATCCATCCATATATCTATTCATCCATCCAATTATCTATCTATCTATCTATCTATCTATCTATCTATCTATCTATCCATCTATCCATCTATCTATCTATCCATCCATCCATCCATCCTTCACTTGACTTTCTGCAACCAGACTTCTGTGTCTGTTGTTCTTCTCCTTCACTAGGTGGCCACACTGCCTGATACTGCAGTATCTGTTTACACTGACGTTCTACTGCCTCCCCTACTGACTCTGCTCCAGTCAACTGCCCTTTGTACACTCAGTTAGCCTGATGGTATTTACTTAATACTGCCTGGTTCACAGTTAAAGTGATGCTATAAAAGGTTTTGTATCATTTCAGCCAGTGGTTTTGAAAGTACTGTTCACGAGCCAAAACGGGACCCCCGAAAATTGTGCGCAATCGTGTACAACGTCACCCATTTCGTGTGTTATTTCAGATGTTACGTCTTGAATTTTCATTTTCTTTCTGCAATTCGTATGCTATGTTACGAATTCCAATTCGTACAATATGTTACGAATTTGTAAGTGCTTAAGATCCAGTTCAAGCTCTTCAACAATAAGCCTCTCGGTTAGGTGTCATGTTTACACACACAGCAGGTTGCTGTTGGAAACAGACCGTTGTCCAGTCTTCTCCATGGAGACCGAGCTAAAGCCAAGTTAGTGGGTCAGGTTAGGTAACGGTTTAGGGACACTGTAAGGTTGGTTAATGGGTTAGTTAGGGATGGGTGGAATACTGTCATTTGATGGAAGAGGTTTCTGTTGAGAAGGTTGAAGATAATCTCTAGTGAAGCAGCTCTGTCTAGATAGTAGAGACAGAACGCAGCCGTTTTTATATGAATATCAAATCATTTCTGGGTCACAAATAAGTACCTTACAAGCTAGGTTTCCATCCAATTGGTGACAGATTTTCACGTGAATATTCGGCAGCATAAATAAAATATGCGCATTTTCCCACCAGTGGTGTGTTTCCACCAGAGTGACTTGTTGCGGACAAAATCAGTGGGTGATGTCATAGTGCAGTGTTTCCCAACCCTGGTCCTCCAGTACCCCCCCAGAGTACCCCCCAGAGTACCCCCCCCAAACAGTACACATTTTTGTTGTAGCCCTGGACAAACACACCTCATTCAGCGCATTGAGGGCTTGATGATTAGTTGACAAGCAGAAACCGAGGACAAGAGTTGGGAAACACTGACGTAGTGCACACAAAATGTACTTTTTCGCTTAAGTTTTCATGTACCAAATAAAAATCTAAAGTTCAATGTGCCTACTCTGGTCTTGGCACGTGCGCTCTAGCCAACAGCTGGCAGATACAGTGCGAGTAGGCTGTGCTGCTAGGTGTCACGAGTGTCAGTGTAATGCGGTGGATCGAAGTCAGGCGCAGGACACAGAACTCTATGAAACGTACTTTACTGAAATAAGTAAAGAAACCAATACAGAATACCTCCACACAGGGAGGAACAAACCCGCTCACCAACGACACACGAAACGAAAAACAAAACACGCACAAAACACATTGGGAGCCACAGGGTTAAATAGGGAAGGAGTAATCACATAATGGGCAACAGGTGTGAAACAATCAGACAACAGGTAGAACATAGAAACATAGAAACATAGATCGGCAGCAGCTAGTACTCCGGTGACGACGAACGCCGCAGCCTGCCCGAGCTAGGAGGAGGGGCAGCCTCGGCAGAATCCGTGACACTAGGCTAGTCTACATGATGAGATTATTATGGATAATATTTGTATTTGTCAAATGGCAGTCAAGCATCGATCATTATGTCACAAGAATAAAACCCTCGATATTTGTTGGAAAGGAGCATCAATATCTCTGTGCAGTTCATCATAACTTATTTCCTCTGTAGCCTAATAAACTGCATGGCTTCCTGAATGGTAGTGAGAGGACCAAACACCATATCATCGCATCACTCCAAGTTTACTTTCATATGATGGTTATTATATCAAGATTTGTGCAGAAAGGCGCTTCCACTACCATTTCTCACATAATGAATCTTACCGATACAAAAAGATCCCTCCATGTCGAACGAAAAAAATGATCTGTCTGCATTTATAAAATGGTACCAAAACAGCTGTCGTGATTTTATTTTGGTGCGGTGTGACTTTATTCGCATAAAAACTGCGGATGGACACGTAGCTACTGTAATACATTTCCATAAAAATGGACAAAGATAGCTTTTGGCCCAAAAAATATTTCTCATGCAAAAATGTTGTTAAGACTGTCTGGGAGTGGTTTGAGTGGGGAGAGGGAAAAACTGAAAACTAGCTGTTATTGGCAGAGAGGTTTAGAACTCTCTTTCTTATTGGTCTATTAACCAATTTACATCACGGTTAGTGATGTCACCATGGAAAGCCGAAAACTCCCGCCCATGCAAACCTGTTGTTTAGAAGTTTCCTGTGTAGATTGTATTTTCAACCAGCCACTATAAGGAAATAACACTGATCAAATACTGTCACACTTTTACAGCGTTAGTTTCATCAGCTGTTGTACAATATGATATAAACACAGGAAAAACGGAATGTTTACCGCACTGTGTCTTTAAGGAGACTGCATCTAAAAAAAGATGGCCGGAGTCATTATGATTTAGATTTCTTTATTTATTTTTTTACTGATTGTTTTGATTATATGGATGTTTATTGAATGAAATGTTGTTCAGCTAGCTGTTGCTGTAAAACCAACACGAGATTCTTAACCTTAAGGCTCTGTGCATTGAGTCTGTTTACGAAATGTGTTATAAACTATTTGAATAGTGTAACATTTAGGAGGGTGTATGCCCTGTAGATATTGCTATTAACAATTCAGATGAGTTAAAACACAACATGTGTTATAACACTGTGTGCATAGTGTAATAACACTTGTGTATAGTGTAATACACTCTGTATAGTTTAATAACACTGTGTTATAGTGTAATATACTCTGTTATAGTGTAATGACTGTGAATGTAAACATGTGTAAGTGTAATAACACTGTGTATAATGTAATAACACTGTGTATAATGTAATAACACTGTGTATAGTGTAATAACACTCTGTATAGTGTAATAACACTCTCGTACCTTTGTGAGAATGTTTGGTTTGTAAAAGTGGGACTTGATGTGCAGGGGCTGTGAGTCTTAGGGCAGAAGTAAGCACCTCTCCTCGTGTTGATGTTTTTTTATGTCAACAGTTTCAGTTCGATGCCTTGAACTGACAAATTAAAATGACATAATTTATTTGAAAATGTTTTATTAAATTAAATACAAATAATAATAATAATAATGTTAAAATAACAATATTATACTCTCATTCTGATTAAGTAGTAATTTCATTTATTCAATAATACATTTATCTTAAATCAGTCATTTTATTGGAATTGTGTTTTTAATTGGATAAAATTAATTGATAGTACATGTATGTTTAAGGTAGATTGGAATCTTCAAAGAAATCATATGTTGTGTGACTAATTCTATCTGCTTTAAGATTGTGTTCTGTAACATACTGCATACTCTCAATAATAATATCAAAATAGCAGTAATATTCTCAGTGTGATTCAGTAGTAATTTTATTGATTCATATTTAATAATGAATCTCTTAAATCAGTCATTTTATTGGAGTTATGTTTTTAATTAATAGGAGAAAATGAATTAATAGTGTATGCTGTGCAATGTTTAGAATGGAACAAGTGGCAGATTAGTTATGAGTTGAACATGTTGAACGTTGCAAATCAGGATTTATTTTCTGTCTGTTTCTGTAAGATATTTGGTTAATTTGTTTATGATTTTACAAGCTTTTTATGAGTTTAACATATTTTGTCTTACAGCAATAAAACTGTATCGACATTGGATCAATAATCAACCAAGAAATAACCTTTCTTCAAGCTTTGCCTGCAATGCCGCCTCCAACCATATGTCCATCAAATGCCTCCTTCTAATTTGTGGTTTATTTGTGCTGTTAGGTTTAGCTGAACCATCTAACAACAACACTGTGTCAAATGAAAGCACTTTGGAATATATGACATTTGACAATGACATCAAATTTGATTGTAAAATTCCAGTTGTCCATTACTCTTGAGCATTTCAACATATTTTAGGGCCAACATCGCCACCTAGTGTATCTTCATAAGTACTGTCTTTCTATTACCAGCGTGTCCCATCGTGTCCATCAATGTGTCCATCTGTCCATCCAGTGTATACCGAGAACCATAATAACCAGAACTATAATAACCTTTCCCGAAGAGAGACTGGACAGTAGAATGGCAGATGAACATTCATTGTGGCTGTAACTGTTCCATGAAATTGACTATAGAAAATGTAAATATACAATGCAAAATTAAGCAGACATGGTTACAGTACAGATACACTTGTCATCCATTATGTAACACACTTTGTCAGGCTATAATTAACAACAATCAATCATAATCAATCACTCATAAGATTATCATTATCATTAGTGGTACTCGGCAGGTCTGTACGAAAGGGCAGGGTGCATTTCAATGAACCCCCCTTGTGGTCAAACGTGGAGCACTATAGCCTACTAGTGTGTTATTAGCAGCATTCAGGCCAAAGAGAGGATGTCCGTAGATGAGCTGGAGAGGGTAACTATGCCTACAAGCTCAGTAGAATCTAAAAGTCCAAAGAGCACCACTTTACCCTGATACTACCAGCATCAATCGGTTCAATCAGAGTTCAAAGTCGATATGAAAACAAAAAAACTATTTACGTGGACAATGTCAATTGTCGATGATCCATGTATATAATTTCGCTCCTCAAAGTCACACTTTCTCAATAGAAAAACAACAACATCGGAATGTTCTAAGTTCCACAACAAGGCTTAAACCGCATCAGCAGTCGAACTTTGAGGTCTGGGGAAAAAATCTACCCTTTAATTTAAATTTCAAGTTTTATTAGTCATATGTATCGGATACGCATGGTGTACATCGTCCAACGAAATGCTTAGTTGCAGGTTCCTTCTCGACAATGCAACCAACGTTGTGACTTTTGGCTTATTAATATTCAAGATAATTTACTGATTAATTATTGGAATAATTAATTGATCTGATTAATTTGGTTATCCTGTCCAAGTTAATCTAAGAGGGCACCATTAAGGGTTGGATATAGAGAAACCCTTGAATTATCAGTAGTTATCATTAACCGTTATACCATTAATTCTATATCAACAATATACTGTAATTGCACCAACTGTTCAGATTTACCCGCGCATGCACACACACACACACACACACACAAAGAGAGATTTAAAAGTTAATCAAGAAGTTTAAAATGGTCAAATCATAGGTCAAAATCAATTGTCGCCGTCCTTGGTGTTTGAAACTGGTCGTCAAGGTAAGACTCCACTTTCACATCTATTTCCATTGTAATGATTGTAGGCTACCAGGTATTCCTAATAAAGCGCAGCACATTTGAAATAATTTGATCCAGGTCTGCATCACCGATGCCCACACATCAGCCAGAGATGAAGTTCTGAATGAGGACACCTTTTGGGGAGAGGAATATGCTCAATATCAGCACTTCATATTCCTTCCATTAAATCCCTTTGATTGGTTTTGATTGAAAGGTTCATTATAAGTCAATCTAATAAATAACTGGTGTGAACTGGCTCAATGCATTTGGAAATAACACAGTGTCTAGCACTAGAGAAACATTGATATTTCGCTCAAAAAGAACATTGATATTGATTGTTTTTATTGATAAATAAGTGATGGATTTGGATGAAATCACATATTGTGGAGGAGATCACACAGACAGTAGACATCTACACATTCTTCTCACACTACAGCAGGGTTTCCCAACCTCGGTCCTGGCCACCTCCGCCACCTGTAGTATAGAACAAGTTTAGACTTGTCGCTTCACCGTTAACAGACTTAGGGAAACAAAGCAATCCTTCCGACTACTTCATCTCCAACTAAGAAACCTGCAGAACCTTTATCTCCCAAATCCATTGAAAAGTGACACCATTTACACAATTTTGATTTCACAAGTTGAATCAAAACAATCAAATGAAATCACACCTCACTGTTTCCTTGATAATGCTTCAGTAGGACCAGACGTTTTTCCTAACCACATGACCTGACCATGGAAAAGCACTGTGCCCTAGCTATGGCTTACAATATAAAGGTCCAGAGATATCCATGATCAGGTCCTGTGGTCAGGAAAAACTCCTGAGTATCAGCCATAGAGAATGATAGAGGACTCTAGTGCCTCATCACGTAGACAGACATCATAGAGAATGATAGAGGACTCTAGTGCCCAAAAGCCTGTTTTAACATGGGCAGCTCCATTGAGGACTTTCACCATTTTTAAGTAGTCAACTGGGTGGGACTTCCTATTGGTTAAGGAAGGATCTCATAATTCCATCCAGGTCATCAGGAAGGATCAGCCAATGAATTATACTCAGGAGCAAACATTCCATAACTGCAGGTGGCAGTAAAATCGCCAACCTTGGCTTTATACCTTTTCAAACAACACATTCCAGGTGGGAGTACACACCCCTTTCAGTTTGTTTACCAACTCATACCAGTAGTAGAAGAAGAAAATGTACTACTTCAAAATGGAGATGGCCTCAATGGTACTACCTGTGCTCTCACAGACGCCACAATGGGACAGACAACGCTGCGACGGCTAAACATCTCTATGGTCTCAACAAAAACAAGGGGAAGGCAGACATTGATCCAACATACAAGCAAGTCTTTGCATTCGGAAAATCACATAACGCACAGACGACAGCTAAATTAAATAAACACAACCAGCCTGACACTTTATTTTACAGTACTTCCACAGCCCTGTTTCCTTGGTAATCACACTGAAATTATCTACCATCATTCTAGGTATTATTACAAGTAATTTCAACAAAATTGTACAACTGCTTGGTCCTGCGACAAATGTTAGTCCGATCAATCAATAAATTATAACCAAAAGGGGATTATTTGGTTATTGACATAGAGTAACGTAATGACTGTTACACGTGTAATGTCAAGTCAACCTCTGCCATCCTTTCCGTAGCGAAGAGCACTTGGCGTGCGTCAGAATGTTAGCAGCGGCAGTCATGGAATCGCATGATTGATTGATTGATTGATTGATTGATTGTTCAGGCCTCCTTTCTCTTCATGATGAGGGGGCCGACGTTATCCCCCGTCTCCTGGTTATGTTTAGCATGAGTTCCATCACAGTAGGGAAACTAGGGCGAGAAAGGTTGTTAGAACACACACAAAATACATCTTAACATTCCTTGCCTTGTTCCTGCTCAAATGCAAGTAATAACGTAGCCTTACTAGCCCACAGTTAGTTTCAGTTGGCCCATTTTAAGAAAGCACTCCTCACAACCACAACATCTTTCCATGCCGTGTCTATGGATTTCCAGTGGTTAAGACATGGCTCCCCTGTACAGGAACCACGCCTTAATACGTCTCTCCGCTTCCTTTTTCCATAATGGTGATAGAAATCAAACAAAGAGTATCAAAACGGAGAGCTAGCCCACCTTCTTGGATCTCCAACACCTGCAGTACACCGCCTTGTCCCCGAGATCTTCGATGTCAAAAGCGTGCACCACTTTGGGGTTGTCTTTCTGCAGGTCCAGGTTGACCTTGGGCTTGACCCCTGACCCCTTGGAGAAGTACTGGAAGAGGAGGATGCCCGCAGCTGTAGCTCCTGCAGTCACGCCAATGGCTGCCGCCAATTCAGCTGTAAAACAAAAACTTAGGACAGGCTGCTTCGCGTGATGTATTGTTGTCTCTACCTTCTTGCCCTTTGTGCTGTTGTCTGTGCCCAATAATGTTTGTACCATGTTTTGTGCTGCTACCATGTTGTGTTGCTGCCATGTTGTTGTCGTCTTAGGTCTCTCTTTACGTAGTGTTGTGGTGTCTCTCTTGTTGTGATGTGTGTTTTGTCCTACATTTTTACTTTTAATCCCAGCCTCCGTTCCCACAGGAGGCCTTTTGCCTTTATTGTAAATAATAATTTGTTCTTAACTGACTTGCCTAGTTAAATAAAGTTTTTTTTTGTTTTTTTATGTAGACTGATCCAGTATCTAGTTCAGGTACGCCTCCAACCACACTACAAACAAACACATAAGAAGAATACATTCTAATGTATTGCATTGCTTATGTAAAGAATCCATATCTTGCAGTTGTCACATTCTGTTGCTTCAACGTTGATACATGAATGGAATTAATTGGAATGGGGGCTGCTTCCCCAGAAGATACCGACCCTACTGTTATGCTTGTTTACACTGAGATGCACGGCGGTCGGAACGCAATCATTAGGACACCGTGGAGCCGGCGCGAGATATTGGTAGAAAAACACAGACCTCAAGGCAGGGATGGGATATGCCATTGTACTCCACATTTGACCTTTATCCACACTGATACATCGAGAAGATTGAAATACTGCTAGTTTCCTGGAAAACTGCCCTTTTCTTCTTCATGCTAGCTACCAGTTGCCACCGCAGCCATTTTGGAATGGCAGGGTCAGCCAATCAGCTCCTTTGTTGTTCAATGCAACATGCCATTCTATAATGGCTGCTGTGGCTACTGGGTATATATACACACATACATTTTTTACCCCTTTTTCTCCCCAATTTCGTGATATCCAATTGGTAGTTACAGTCTTGTCCCATCGCTGCAACTCCCATACAGACTCGGGAGAGGCGAAGGTCGAGAGCCATGCGTCCCCCGAAACACGACCCTGCCAAGCAGCACTGCTTCTTGACACACTGGTCGCTTAACCCGGAAGCCAGCCGCACCAATGTGTCGGAGGAAACACCGTATCACTGGCGACCGAAGTCAGCGTGCATGCGCCCGGCCCGCCACAAGGAGTCGCTAGAACTCGATAGAACAAGGACATCCCGGCCGGCCAAACCCTCCCCTAACCCGGATGACGCTGGGCCAATTGTGCGCCGCCTCATGAGTCCCCTGGTCGCAGCCGGCTGCGACACAGCCTGGGATCGAACCCCGGTCTGTAGTGATGCCTCAAGCACTGCGATGCAGCCACTCGGGAGGCAGGCTATTGGTATTTTTGACAGTATTTCAATCTGAAGACAGTATGGTTTGAAGTGACTGAAATGCATCAGAAAGGTATTGGGGAAGTTCAGAAGATCATCAGGCAAAGATATGGTATGATCTTCTGTGTAGATAATAATAAAATATGTTATTCCCCCCCCCCATTCTGATTTATTTCCTGGTCTTGTCCACTCAGTTCTAATGGCTTGTGGGCGTAGTAGAGTGCGTATGTACCATGTTCCTGAGAGGATTACCTTTCAGTTATGCCGTCATAATATTTTGTAGTATTTGGTGGTCCTCTGTAGCTCAATTGGTAGAGCATGGCGCTTGTAACGCCAGGGTAGTGGGTTCGATCCCCGGGACCACCCATATGTAAAAATGTATGCATACATGACTGTAAGTCGCTTTGGATAAAAGCGTCTGCTAAATGGCATACTACTACTATATTTAAAATATAGAGACACATTTGTAGGAAGAAAACAGAAACCGCTCTGTTTATTACAACCGCATCGAGAAGCTACAGGAGGATACTGGCATAAGCCCGGTTCTATGAACCATGCGCGAATGTTCTCTCGAGACCCCATTTCAAATCAGGTCACGACCCCTAGTTTGGGAAACCCTGTCTTACACAGAAATACTCTTCTCGGCCTCATATGAACCCTTTTTCCATAATGTCGACCTAACCTGTAGCAACATAAAATGCAAAATATCGCAAGAGAAAATATAATTCGCACTTATTAAACTCGCCAGGTCATTTTCCATCAATGGATGTCGATTTAACTTTAATCCATTTTGCGCTTAACTATAAATAAATCATAAGGGAGAGCTTGAGTGATGAAAGTTGGACAGAGGTTCTCGAAATCTCAGGACCGAGTTAGGGGAAACCCCAAGATATCCTAAACTGAACGATTTATCAAATTGACAGACTCATTTATTCAACCTGAATAGCAAGGCGATTTCGAGGTAAGAAGTGCTTGTCTTGCCCAATAGCCTATAGGTTAATGCTGGAATAGGCTACTGATGATGGGGTCTTCATTTCAATAACTGAATCAAATATGAATAATATGAATATGAACTGAATAAGCTTGTCAACAACAGCCAGTGTTATTTTTTTACTTTAGCCTAATCTGACTGACTTGTTTCCGTCAATCTAATGCATCCATTCTAACATCTGATCGGCAATTGCGATAAGAGGCGAGCTGTGACCATGATCACAAACGATAACCTCCATTAATAATCGCATAATAACATAAGGCTACAACAGCAATAAGCAATAAACTGAATTTATAGGCTATTTATTAAATCCGTTTGCCAGCTCCAGGTAGGATACACAGGTGGCAACATTTTGATTTGCAATGAATGACTAGTGATATCGCCATTCCAACATATTTCTTGTATCAAATGCAGGCTACAGTAGCCTAGAATGACATCGAAATCAATCTATGATGGCCAACAGATACAAATGTACCATTCCCGTTATTTAATGTCCGTTTCAAGGTCAACTTTCCAGAACTTCCACTTCAAATATCCGCAGCGCTGGAGACCCAACAACTGAGCGTACAACCCTTAACTCGCTTGATACGGTTTTCCATAAGCAAAGTCGACATAATATAAGAATTGAGTTAAAAACCACCTCCTCCGAGCGAGTTCATCTAAAGTCCATTTCAACAGTTTTCCAGGGCGTTTGTCGCCGTTATTTCTTGATACGCATAAATTCTAGCGCGTTAATGTTGTCGTTTTTATGGGGAAAAGGGGTTATGAACTCTTAAGTAACTGCCTGGCTAGACAAAACAGGAGGCAACAAGTCAAGGTCGCAGTCTTACGAAATGACAGGCATGCTAGCTATTATGCCATCGTCAAAACGTTTACAGATTACATTAACCAATGTCATAAACTAGCTCACATTTTTCTGAAATATTTGCTAAATAACAGAATTTCGTAACTAGCTAAGTAACGTAACGTTAGCAAGCTGTCTAACTAGCTAGGAGAAGCTAGCTTCAACTTGTTGCTAGTTAGCGTGGCATATTTACCTTTTGACAGGGAAACGTTGTTGGAACTCATGGCTTGCAACTATACGATTGATCCAAAGCAGTTTTGTGGAGAAGGTGTAGCTAACTATCGGTATGGCTCAAATCCTGCGTAGTAAATGGCACATATTTTAGATTTGTTACAAAATGTGAACACACAGCTAACTAGCGATATGGCAGCAACATTAAGACTTCCGGCTTTCCGATTTTGCCTTCAAAATAAAAGTCTGCGGTAAAACGAATGACACGAAATCAATCATTTTTGCATAGTGCATAATGTAAAAAAATTATAACTACATCGGGGGGAAATCTAAGCTTTCCAGCTAAATTGGAAAATTGCTACTTTATACAAGATAAATGTAATATTATACGGTGGAGCACATTGAGAAATGGTGCTTAAGTAAATTAATGTAAAAAAACATTATATTCTACAGACCCTATTGATCTAGCGCTAGAGTCTATATATGGTGTTATTTATTGGATGACTGTGGTCTAAATACCCAGCAGCCCTTTAAATAATATTGTGTTGCTGGCCTTTTACTGTGGTCCAACGGCTTACAATGGCATGCCTGGACACTATACGGTACAAATATAGCACTGTACAGGAAAAACTATTATTTGTCCCGATGTAAAAGTGGGGTAACTAAGGGTCTGTAGAACCCATTTCGTCCAAAAAGTTGACTCAAGTTTGCCAAAAAGCCACTGGAAGCACCTGGATGATCATCAAGACTCTTGGAAGAATGTTCTATGGACAGACGAGTCAAAAGTGTAACTTTATGGACGACATGGGTCCCATTATGCCTGGCAAAAAACAAACACTGCATTCCACAGTAAGAACCTCATACCAATGGTCAAGCATGGTGGTGTTAGTGCGATGGTTTGGGAATGCTTTGCTGTCTCAGGACCTGGACGACTTGCCTTAATAGAAGGAACCATGAATTCTGCTCTGTATCAGAGAATTCTACAGGAGAATGTCAGACCATCCGTCTGTGAGCTGAAGCTGAAGCACAGCTGGGTCATGCAGAAAGACAATGATCCAAAACACACAAGTCTAAATGAAAATGTTTAAAAAGCAACACATTTGAAGTTTTGGAATGGCCTAGTCAAAGTCCAGACCTAATCCCAATTGAGATGTTGTGGCAGGACTTGAAACGAACAGTTCATGCTAGAAAACCCACAAATGTCGCTGAGTTACAGCAGTTCTGCATTGAAGAGTGGGCCAAAATCCCTCCACAGCGACGTGAGAGACTGATCACCAATTACAGGAGGCGTTTGGTTGGAGTCATTGCAGCTAAAGGTGGCACAACCAGTTATTGAGTGTAAGGGGGCAATTACTTTTTCACACGGGGGCATTGGGTGTTGCATAACTTTGTTTATGAAATAAGTATGTAATTGTTGTGTTATTTGTTCACTCAGGATTCCTTTATCTAATATTAGGTTTTGGTTGAAGATCTGATAACATTCATTATCAAAAATATGCAATAGCGAAAATTAGAAAGGGGGCAAATACTTTTTCACAGCACTGTATGGGTTATAAATATATGATCATATATTTTAAATATATGTCACGTTCTTTGATATATATGGACATATATAACTTTTCTGTATGGGAGTCTGAATACCAGAAGGGCCCAGCATTGGCTACTTTTTTTAAAATAAAAAGCAGTATTAATTGGAGATCCAACAATTTTCAGACCCTCTGTCTGTACCGGCTGGTTCTAGAGGTCCCGCGGGGCTCCAATGAGCTGGGGAAAAATGCTTTTAGTTTTTCTGCCCCCAGCTCGTGGAGTAGCCTTCAGGCCACCTTGGTCCTCTGTAGCTCAGCTGGTAGAGCACGGCGCTTGTAACGCCAAGGTAGTGGGTTCGATCCCCGGGACCACCCATACACAAAAATGTATGCACGCACGACTGTAAGTCGCTTTGGATAAAAGCGTCTGCTAAATGGCATATTATTATTATTATTATTAAGCTGGACATGCTGGTCTCCATTGGACAGTTTAGATACATTTTGAGGGAGATAATATGTGATAGTTGTGTTTGCTTTGATTAATTATTTTTTTGTTGTATTTTTCGTACATATTTCCCTATCAGACTTTTCATCCTTCTACAAAATATACTTTCCTGCAACCCGCCTCACTCAATGTGGAACGGATTCTATTATTGACTTACTTTTTATCTAGAATCTCCAGTTGAAACTAGCTAGCCAGCTAACTAGCTACTTGCTATTAGCCACAGTTAGCGGTATTTCACCCAGAACATTGGATTTTTTTTTCTGCGGGATTAATTTAATCACTGGACATTAATCACCGGATATTCGGCCAGTCTACACAGCGCGTTATCGACCCAGAACATATCTGTTTTTCTGCCGGAATCACTGAATCACTGGACCTTTAACTCCGGATTCATCGCTACCAGCTAGCTGCAACAAAATGGACGCTGTGGTCTGGCTAATCATCCTGAGCTAGGCCCATCTACCTCTCTGTCAACCGGACGGGACCACCTAGTGTTGACACGGAGCCCCGCCGATCCTACACGACTGGTCTGCCGACGAAATCGTCTGATGTGGGTACGACGTCGACCACGAAGATTCCATCTGCTAGCCCCGGCCCGCTAGCACACGCTAGCCGTGGCCTCTTACTCGCTAGTGCTTTAGCAGCCTCCGAACTATCCTATTGTTGTTCACCGGACCTTATGATAACTCAGCTATACAGCTGATGTCTGCTGGACTGTTCCTTTTTACGGTACTACATCCTGTTTATGTTTAGCCTCATCCCAAACATGGTTAGCTTATTGTTGTTTCGGTTATTTCTAATTGTACTATTTCACTGTAGATCCCCCAGCCCAGCTAAACCTGCCTTAGATAGCTCCTTTGTCCCAGCCCCCATACACGCGGAGACCGACTCAATTGATGCCTCCAGTGATGCTATCTCTTTCATTGTTACCCAACGCTTAGGTTTACCTCTACTTTACTCATATCCTTCCATATCCTTGTCTGTACATAATGCCCTGAATCTTTTCTACAACACCCAGAAATCTGCCCCCTTTATTCTATGTACCCAACGCACTAGAAGACCAGTTCTTAAAGCCTTTAGCCGTATCCTTATTCTAGTCCTCCTCTGTTCCTCTGGTGATGTAGAGGCTAACCCAGGCCCTGCAGCCCTCAGTATCACTCCTACTCCCCAGGCGCTATCATTTGCTGACTTCTGTAATCGCAAAAGTATTGGTTTCTTGCACGTAAATATCAGAAGTCTACTTCCTAAGTTTGAGTTATTCACTGCGTTAGCACACTCCGCCAACCCTGATGTTCTAGCAGTGTCTGAATCCTGGCTCAGGAAGGCCACCAAAAATTCTGAAATTTCCATCCCCAACTATAACATTTTCCGTCTAGATAGAACTGCCAAAGGGGGTGGAGTTGCAATCTACTGTAGAGATAGCCTGCAGAGCTCTATCATACTATCCAGGTCTGTGCCCAAACAGTTTGAGCTTCTACTTCTAAAAATCCACCTTTCCAGAAATAAGTCTCTCACTGTTGCCGCTTGCTACAGACCCCCCTCAGCCCCCAGCTGTGCCCTGGACACCATATGTGAATTGTTGCCCCCCATTTATCCTCAGAGTTCGTACTGCTTGGTGACCTAAATTGGGATATGCTTAATACCCCGGCCATCCTACAATCCAAACTAGATGCCCTCAACCTCACGCAAATTATCAACGAACCTACCAGGTACAACCCTAAATCCGTAAACATGGGTACCCTCATAGATATCATCCTGACTAACATACCCTCTAAATACACCTCAGCTGTCTTCAACCAGGATCTCAGCGATCACTGCCTTATTGCCTGCGTCCGTAACGGGTCCGCGGTCAAACGACCACCCCTCATCACTGTCAAACGCTCCCTAAAACACTTTAGCGAGCAGGCCTTCCTAATTGACCTGGCCCAGGTATCCTGGATGGATATAGATCTCATTCCGTCAGTAGAGGATGCCTGGTTGTTCCTTAAAAGTAATTTCCTCTCAATCTTAAATAAACATGCCCCATTCAAAAAATACAGAACTAAGAACCGATATAGCCCCTGGTTCTCCTCAGACTTGACTGCCCTTGACCAGCACAAAAACATCCTGTGGCGTACTGCATTAGCATCAAATAGCCCCCGTGATATGCAACTTTTCAGGGAAGTTAGGAACCAATATACACAAGCAGTCAGGAAAGCAAAGGCTAACTTTTTCAAACAGAAATTTGCATCCTGTAGCACTAACTCCAAAAAGTTTTGGGACACTGTAAAGTCCATGGAGAACAAGAGCACTTCCTCCCAGTTGCCCACTGCACTGAGGCTAGGAAACACTATCACCACTGATAAATCTACAATAATCGAGAATTTCAACAAGCATTTTGCTACAGCTGGCCATGCTTTCCATCTGGCTACCACTACCCCCGGCCACCAACTCTGCACCCTCCGCTGCAACTTGCTCATGCCCCCCCCACTTCTCCTTCACACAAATTCAGACAGCTGATGTTTTGAAAGCGCTGCAAAATCTGGACCCCTACAAATCAGCTGGGCTAGACAATCTGGACCCTTTCTTTCTAAAACTAGCCGCCGAAATTGTCGCAACCCCTATTACTAGTCTGTTCAACCTCTCTTTCATAACGTCTGAGATCCCCAGAGATTGGAAAGCTGCCGCGGTCATCCCCCTCTTCAAAGGGGGTGACACTCTAGATCCAAACTGCTACAGACCTATATCCATCCTGCCCTGCCTTTCGAAAGTATTTGAAAGCCAAGTTAACAAACAGATCACCGACCATTTCGAATACCACCGTACCTTCTACGCTATGCAATCCGGTTTCCGAGCTGGTCATGGGTGCACTTCAGCCACGCTCAAGGTCCTAAACGATATTATAACCGCGATTGATAATAGACAGTACTGTGCAGCCGTCTTCATCGACCTGGCCAAGGCTTTCGACTCTGTCAACCACCGCATTCTTATTGGCAGACTAAATAGCCTTGGTTTCTCAAATGACTGCCTCGCCTGGTTCACC